ATAATTTGCGTCTCTTAAAACATTTGCTTGTTTAGGAAATGGAATAGACAATGCGCGTTTTGATTGGAATGCATTTGCAAGATTACAGGATTATGGGAATTTAAGTTATCAGATTGGAGCATTTTGTTTCAATTATCTTGATTGGAAATCTTTAAGAATCAGTTGGGATGCGAAAAGAAAATTACAAGTTCTTGACAGTAAAGGATTTCAATTAACACCAGAATATTTCATAATACTTTCTCCAATTTTTCAAACGTTGTTACAAAATAATTTATTATTTAAATACTTTAGGTTTTACAACTTTTCGTATTTGAAAATAAATTAGTACAACTATTGGTTACAATACAAGAATGTTTCTCTCTAAATTACAAAGAAAAGAAAATGAATCTATGCCTAAGGTTGACTGAGGTTCCTTTGCTTCCATGCTTGCCACATAGTCTCTTGCTTCCCCTGCTTTGTCCTCCCCATTGTGCTCACATGAAAATGAAAGAAAGAAAAAGTTAGTACAAATTAATTGGACATGAGCAAGAATTTTCAAAAAGAAAAAGTGTTCATCATTAAAGTTTGCAATTTGGAATCAGAAAGCCATTTTTAATTCATCATATTTTTATTTTCTCTATTTGCAAATCACAAGAATATTATTCTTCTTGGTTCACAAAAAGAAAAAAAATAAGAAATGCAAGCAAGCTGTCCAAACAAGAAATGCAAGCAAGCTGTCCAAACAAGAAATGCAAGCAAACTGTCCAAATGCAGCAAGGCTGTCCAAACAAACAAAATGCCTAAACAGCAGCCAAATGCCCAAATAGCAACAGAAGGCGCAAACTGAGCCAAACAAAATTTGCAACAAACAACAAAAACAAACAGCAGCATGGCAATAAAAATGCAAGTGAGGCAACAACATAGATCAGACATCATCAAAAAAACAGAAGTATAGCATATAATATAATAAGTCAAACAAGCAAAGGCTTGTTCAAGAAGCTAAGTCATCATTTTCCATTTATTTGCAAACTTTTTAGAAAAAGGCAAAAGAGTAATTGACTCTTAGTGTCATTGAGAGAGAAGAGAGGAAAGAAGTCACCTAGGGATGCACAGCCCTACTGCCTTGATTTTCACAATTGCATAAGAGTTGCTAGAAAACAAAAACTGCAACAAAAAGAGCATAAGAACAATATGCCAAAGTATTCAAAATTTGATGGTTTTCCCACCATTTTGAATAAGAATTCAACCAAAGCAACATCAATATAACAGTAAAAACTCTCAAGCAGAGGAGGAGGAAAAACATTTTATAAAACTCAGAAAAAACTGAAAACAAGTCTCCAACCCTCAAAAACCTGTATAACTAAAAACCTCCACAAAACTGTCAAACCAAAAAAGTCTGAACCATAACCAAAACAAAGTTTCAAACTGTCAAACCAACCTTCAAACTGCCATCAACCAAAAACCTGATCTCAAGCCAAGCAGAAACAAGTCACAAACCTGTAACAACTCATCAAACCTGTAACAAACTGTCAAGGCATCCAAAACTGTCAAAGGCCAAACTGTTACAAAGCCAACAATAAGAACCAAATCCAAAACCCCCAAACTGTCAAACAATTCAAACCAAAAATCCCAAACTGTCAACAAAATCAATAACCTTCAAAACCTGTCAAAAAACTCAGAAAATCACCAACCATCTCAAACTCATCAAATTTGTTAAACCAACAAATAAAAAAAAACCAGAAAATCACCAAACCTCAAAACTGTTAAACAATCAAGGCCTCCAAAACCTAAGAGTTTCAAACTGATAAACAATCCTCAAACAAATTCCAAACCAGTCTCAAAGCAACCAACTCAAAACACCATTAAATAACCATCTCAAAAAACTGTTACAAAACCAAAACAAAAAAAAAACAGTAACAACCTCAAAATACCAAAAAATATCCAAAACCAAAATCCAACAAAAACCATCATCGAAAACCAGTCTCAAATCAACCAAGTCACAACCATCATCAAACAAATTCCAAAAAAACTGTTAACCATAAAATCCAGAAGCACAACATCATCATCATTCAAAGCAAAGAGGACAGAAAAAAGGTTACCAGAAATACCAAGGCCTTCATCTTCATTTCTTCCTCCCATCTCCGGCCACCAAGGAGCACCTCCCTCAGTCTCACTATCCCCTGTTCATTTCACAGAAAGTTCCAAAGGCATGGATTCTTCACCTTCCTCATAAACCATTTCCTGTATCTCAATAGACAATAAGTATGATTAATAGAAAAACATGAACAAAACACACAAAACCAATGAAACTGTTAAGCTTTAATTGAAACAGAACTTCACCTTAAAAAAAAAACCCATTAGAGCTTGGTTAGGAGGTGAGAGAGAGTGCTCCGGCAACGGAAGGTTGAGGGGAATATCAGATAAACAAATTTTGAACCCATTAGACATAAGTTCATTTCAAACTTAGGGTTTTCAGAAAAGCACGAGCCATGGTGAGATAGAGACGGCATGAGCGAATTTGTTTGCAAAATTGAGACAGAGATAGTTAGTGAGAGGTTTAGAGATGAAATTCAGAGATGAACAAGGATGGTACAGAGATATGCGAAGGGTTGAGGCAGCGCCGCTGTGAAGCACAAAGGGGTTCCAAGAACCCTAATTGTGTTTCCACCCCTAATCAAACAAACTAAACTGATTTAAAATACATTGGGCCTGTTTCATTTACAAACTTCTTAAGCCCACGCGTTTTCTAGTTCACCCCCCCTTTGGTCTGTTCTCTTGTTTCAACAATGATAACAAGATTTCTTTGGGCCTAACACCCCTAAATCTCTTAAGCCCATATTTCTTCTTTTTTTTAATTTGTTTTTTTATTTTGTTTTGAAAGATGTTAAATAAAACTTAAAACCTTTTTATTAAATTAATTTAGATTTTAGTGTTTAATTTTTATCATTTAATTTTTTTATATAAACTTTTTTTTATTAATTTTCTACATTTAATAAAACATCAAAAAGAATTAACTAAGTTTGTCTTCTTTCTTTAAAATTTATTTGTGTAATTAATAAAAAATTACAATAAAGATTTTAATTTAAATCAATTTATTTTTAGAATAGGTTTTATTTTTTTCTTTTCAAGTAAATACATTTCATTTCATATCTTGTTGACTTTATTTCATAAATTGTCATAGCTTTATATTAAATCGCACAAAAATTTGATTTGGTTGTATTGATTGATATTTGGACATTGCTATTTCTTTTGATTCATCCCCATTTGTAACAATTGTACCCCCATTCCCGAATACTTTGTAATAGTGTAGAATTTCAATTCCTGCAATTTACTATTTTCCATATATTGTATAGTAACTAGGCATGTATGGCAAGATTCAAATAAATCAATCGCTAGATGACCTAATCAAAGAATAAATAACTTGAAACCAACACACTTTCTCACACGCGCACCTCTAGGGTAACCTCACTCCTTGCCTCAGAAATACAATCATGTCCCTCGAATATGAGACATTCTAGCAATGACCCTTCGATAAAAAAAGATCATAGCCCCTCGATGTTGCCTTCGATTAAAACAATCCCGTCCCTTACAAAAATTGCTAGTGCGTCTCACAAGTTGCCTTCAATGATTGTAAAATTGACTCGCGCCTGTCCCTTTACATCCAATGGTGGGGCTTCTTACCAAATCAATGGTAAGATAACACCATTAAAAGGAAGAAGAAAAGAACAAATTAAGACCTTTCGAGTAGATAGATTCGCTCTTAGTTACTCGCTTGCTCACGACAAAAACGTTTACACCTACGCTCTCATTTCAAAACATCTTCAAAAAATATAAAACATTTTGTATACGTTCTTATAGAGACGAGAACCATCGCAAAACCTCTTTTCAAAACACTTTTCAAAACACTTTACAAAACACGATTCACAAACACATCTTTGAACCACTTTTCGAAACAAAACTTTGTATACGTTCTTATAGAGACGAGAACCATTACAAAGATATTTTTCAAAATACTTTCAAAGCCCACACCACAAGCACATAATCAAATGAAAGCAAGTGATCTAAACGAGTAACTAAGAGCCCATGGAAAACCATGGATGAAAAGGGTGCTAATACCTTCCCTTTTCATAATCTACCCCCCGAACCCGAGAAAATCTCGAAAGGTCTATCCTGTGCTTTTTTACCTTTCCTTTTGGATAAAAGAAAAGTCGGTGGCGACTCTTGCTAACCGCACAAGTGCGAACGAAACGCAAAACTTCAAGTCAGTTCTCCCACCGCATCATAGTGTCGAAGCTTCATCGATACGAAAATAAATCACAATAGAAATCCAAAACACATCCGTATGTCAAATAACAAACCTGCATAAGACTTAACTCAACAGGTAAAGGTGAATCACAAGTCTCAAGTAATCGAAAAATTAGGAAGTAATTTCTAAAAAAAAGCAAACAAAACCCTAAATTTTTTTATTGATTTTTGTAATTTTTATCACAAAAAAAGTCTACATTCTATTTATTTATTTTTGTTCTATTTATATTATTAAAAGAAAATTAAAGAAAAAAGATAAAAAATAAAACTAAAGAAAACAGAAAGAGCCAGGGGTGTTATGCTGAAGTCAGGGGTAGTGTTCAACAAGTTCCAAAAGCCCAAACAGATATAATCCTGAAGCTGTTTTTTTGTTTTAATACATTATAATTACCAAAAAAACAGGGATGGGCCTATGGAATCATATATAAATGCCAAGCCCAAACGATTTTTGTTACAAGTTTCTTTAGTCACAAAAATGAACAAGGAAAAGGATAAAGAGGACTGGAATCCGATCCAACCCAACAACATTATCCAACCACAAATTATATCTAGATTTACTATTATATTCAATATATTTGTCTTACCATAGTTAATATATGGTCTATGAACTTAACAAAAAAAAAGAAAAGAAAATAACAAATGCAAAAAGAAAATAGAAAGAGGATTAGGGTTATGCTTGAATGAATCTTCATCTTCACTCTCTTCTCCCTTTAAACATGCGGCGGACGAAACCCTCTTCTTCATTGATCAACTTCTGCCATCAACCTCGCCGTCACAGCCTACCCATCCTTCGCTCAGTCTCACTCATTTTCCATTTCAACGATCCCCACCGTTCAATCTGTGCTTTTAACTCGGTGATTCATCATCATCACCTCCATTTATTTCCTGTCCCTATCTTACTATATCGTCATGATTCTGCCTCATTTCAAAAGCTTTGATTTATTCGCTCGTCTTCTTCAATCCCTCTGTCCACCTCCGGTCTTCTTCTTCACTGACTGCAGATACGAAACGCGTTGGTGATGTGAAGCAATTCGACAGTTACATAATTATGCTTACAACAGTTCAACTAACATCCTAGCGAAAAAGAATCAAGCACGAATCATAAAGAAAAGTGTAAACTCGAGGCTTACCGATCGGAGTCTCTCCATTGGCGTTCCAACAACTTCGATAACGAGAAACTCAGGTAATCACTCTTGCTCGTTATTCTTCTACTTTCACTTTCTGCGTTCGAATACGCTTCTCTGAGTTCAATTCTACTTCTCTGATTCAATGTGTTGCTGGTTGTTACGTGTTACGGAGAATGTAGGTATTGTGATTGGAGCATTGGGGCATGAAGACGATGATGAAAGTGATGTTGGGGAGGAAGATTGAAAGAAGGTGCATAAGAAGCTTTCGAGGAGAAGAAAACCGGTGATTCAAGCTTGAGGAAGGATGGTGAGAAATTGCAGAGAGAGAGAGAGCATTCTCAGGTGAGTGTTGAGATTTTCTATTATTTCTATTACGAATCAATCCCCCTGGAAAGTGAATCTTCTCCCTTATTTCTGTTTTAACTTTTCTTTTATATTTCCAGAATCTGTTAGAGATAAATCTCTTCAGCCATTGGATTCAAAAAATCAGTTTTAGAAGCAGTGGTCAGGATTTGTTCTCAAATTCCCTCGGGAAGTTAGAAAATTCTGTTAGAAATTTAGTTAGTATGCTGTTAGTTAGTTAGTGAATTGGTTAAGGGCTGTGAGGTCTTTTTCAGACACTCTGTTAGGCTAGGATATTATTCTTATTTTCCTAACTTTTGGTTGAATCAGTATACTGAGCTTTTAATATCTTTTTCTATCTTTTCCTCGCGTTTTCTGAACTGTGCTAGTGATCTTACATGACTGCTAACTTTCTGATATACAAGGCTACTGAGCTTTTCTTTCATTAAACTACTGCGCACCCAAACACTATTATGAACTGGTCCTCTGATCATAAAGTAGTTCCCTCTGATTGTTGTCTGTGAACTTGATGTAGGGACCTGTTTTGCGCTTGGGTTAGAGTAGTGAAAATCTATATGGCCTCATATATTTTTTGTTTTGGCATAACGATATGGACTTATCCTTCTTAATGGAGATATTAAACAGGTTTTAAGGAGCACAGTTTTAGCAAGGCGGATCAACATGATCTTGATGCAAGCTTTTTGTGAACATTGAGATTTGGCTAAGGAAAGCAAGGGACATGCTACAAGTTTAGGACTTAGGAGTTCCAGGTTTCTTTTTTCTTTTGTATCATGTAAAGAGAGCTATTTAGATAGCTGACTGTAGTTTGAAACATTTATGAAAAAATTTGGTTTTAAATTCTATTTTCTTCACATCTAAATCCTTATATCCTTTTTTCAATTTTTTAATTTGTGAATCTTGTATGAAACCTTTGACTGTAACTTGTAACTTCACTTTAAAGTAATACATTTCCCTTTCTAACTTTGCAAGCATTAAACGCTTCTGATCCAGTTGAGCATCTTTAGGCGACTTGAATGAACAAACAATGAATCCAAATCTCTCTATTTCTCAAATAAACTCTATCTTCAAGTCTCAGGCGACCACATTCTTTCTTTTTAGTCAACAAAATGCCTCAATCAAAATAAATCCATAAACTCCTCTCAAGCCCTTACACTCATACTTCAATCTAATATGACAAAAATATGCCTTGAATATTAGAAGATGAATGATACTCAAAGCATAAAAAAGGAACATATAACCATGAAAAACCCTAATTTCAATGATCCTTAATCTTCAATTGGGTCAAAAATCCAAATGACCACCGAATCCTATTTGAAAGGTTGATGAGATCTTATCCTAGAGCTCGAGAACTACGAAATGCCTTAAATCGATAAAATCCCAAAGAAAAACTCTAACCACTTAACTAGTATCACAACAGAAGAAAGACCCTGATTCAATCTTTTAAGCCTCTTGAGAAGGGTTGACTTATGATGTAAGCAATTAGGAGGAACCCCAATTCTCTTAATTTGGATGCACATTGACAAGGAAAGTACTTGAGGTATTGAGAGGAATCAAAGCCCAAGAAGCCAACCTACCTTGATTCATATCTTAAGCGCCAAGAATTATCTTGACGAAATCTTCAATCAATCCTTAACCATTTAACAAATAGCAGCACAAGAAAGAAGTCCTTGATTCAGTCTTCTAGACTTCTTAAAAAGAATGTCTATTGAGGAAAGCATTTAGGAGAAACCCTAATTATTTCTCTTTAAAAAATCTTGATGAAGATAACTTTGTATCCTGAGGAATTTTATCGGGGAAGACGTCTATGATGCTGGAGATTCAAACCCTAATCTCGTACCAAGAATGATAAGAGCCCTAGTTGAGTCAACTTGAATAATTTAACAACCTTAGTCCATACAGAAAACCCTAATGCCAAAATCTCTTCGATCCCGTAACCATGGGACCAATGCTATGTATGAGATGTACAGAGTATGATGAGGGATCTTAGGGAAACAAATTGGGGTATAACACCATGAGGTGAGGAGATATCTTAAAGCACAAGAATATCCCGAAGGAGCTTTCGTCAATGATAAGAAATTCTTGCGAAGATTTTCAGCCAAGTTATTTCTAAGTAACATAATCCTATACAAGCGCAACCATGATTCTACTATGCTCTGATGTATGGACAAGAAGGAGGAATAGAAAATATGGAAGACATGCATAATGGCATTTTTGGGACCCACTCTAGTGGACACACCATGGCCAAGAAAATCTTGAGGGCTGGTTACTATTGGTCCACAATGGAAACTGATTGCCATCATCACTCCAGGACTTGCCACAAGTGTCAGATCTATGCTGACAAGGTCCATGTACCTCCTATTCCTCTAAATGTCATGACTTCTCTGTGGCCGTTCGCAATGTGGGGCATTGACATGATTGGAGAGATCAAACCTACTTCCTCAAATGGACACTATTTCATCCTTGTTGTCATTGATTACTTTACCAAGTGGGTCGAAGCTGCCTCATTTGCCTCTATCACGAAGAACATTGTAGCCAAGTTTATCAAGCATAATCTCATCTGTTGTTACGGTATCCCCGAAAGGATTATCACCGACAATGGAACTAATCTTAATAATGCTATGATTACTGAACTTTATACTCAGTTCAGAATCAAGCATCACAATTCTTCTCCGTACAGGCCCAAGATGAATGTCACAGTGGAAGCTGCCAATAAAAATATCAAGAAGATTGTGCAAAAGATAGTGGTAACCTACAAAGACTGGCATGAGATGTTACTGTTTTCTCTCCATGGCTATCATACTTTGGCTCGTACGTCAACTGGGGCAACTCCTTTCTCCTTGGTCTATGGCATGGAAGCCGTCTTGCCTGTAGAAGTTCAAATTCCCTCTCTAAGGATAATGAAAGAAGCATGTCTAGGAGAAGATGAATGGATTCAGACTAGGTTGGATCAGCTGAACTTGATTGACGAGAAGCGATTGGCTTCTATTTTCCATGGTCAGATGTATCAAAATCGTATGATCAAGGCTTTCAAAAAAAGATCAAGCCTCGAGTATATCAGACTGGCGACTTGGTAATAAAGCACATCATTCTTCCACAAGGCGACCCAGGGGAAAATGGACTCCCACTTATGAAGGACCATTTGTTGTAAAGAAAGTTTTCTCTAGTGGTGCCATGATGCTAACTACCATGGATGGCGAAGACTTCCCACATCCCGTAAATGCGGACATAGTTAAAAAATACTACGCATAAAATGACCCGCTAGGTTGACACACCTAGGCAAAAATATGGGCATCCCGGTGAACCAAAGAGGTTCAGGCAAAATTTAAGGATATATGCAAAAGATTGTACACCCGGCTAGTCAAAAACCTGAAAGGGCGACTTGGGCAAAAATGGGTATCCTGATGGGCTGAAAAACCGAAAGGGCGGTTCAGGAAAAAGTTAAGGATTAAAGCGTATGACTATGTCCCGTGGGATCTCTACAACCGGCTTTATTACCAAGGTCCATGTTCACATGGTCCAAGATCAATCCAATCAACTTCTTTTTAACGACAAGGGGTAATGTTCAAAGACATAGGGGAAATAGTGGGGTTGGAACCCAATGAGATCACTTTCACATGGATATTATTTTTGTTTTCACTTTGTATTCTTTCCATTATTTCGACGATTTCCTCTTACTAGGGTCTCAGTCTCTTTGTACAAAAACGCCTAATTCATGGGCAAAACATCAATACAAATATACTTTGAAGTGCAAACTTTTTTGTTTTTCCTGTTTTGAGTGCAAAAGTGTCCAATGACTAAAATTGAATGAACATATGCATATGAACATGATTAAACTTTTAACAAATATATGCTTAAGAATAGTAACAAGCGCATCCTTAAATGCATTTGAGATATCCCCAGAGTTATTTCATTAGCATTATCCCCACGAATTTGGATTCATAAAATCCCTAGCCAGAGTTTCAATCTCCGGAAGATCCTCTCCCCAGCTGAGTTGGTCTTAAAAAGGAAGCCTTATGGACCTGACCAGTCAACAGTTCAAGCCTGGACCCGACTAGATAACAGTTGCTAAAGCCTAAACCCTACTAGATAACAACTCCAATTTCTAAAACCTGGACCCGACCAAATAACAACTTCTAAAGCCTGGACCCGACCAGATAACAACTCCAATTTCTGAAACTTGAACCCGACCAGATAATAGTAAATCTCAAATTCAGTTGCTAAAGCCTGGACACGACCAAATATTACTTTAACCCCCTCAACTGTAGAGCCTGGACCCGACCAGTTAACAGTTCGAGTTGCTGAAACCCGGACCCGACCAGATAATAGTTAACTTCTTTATCTCCAGCAAGTTGTCGTAAAGCATAGAATCTAACCAAATAATAACTAACCTTGAAGAGACAATTCCCCACAAGAGCGACAGACAACTAAAACTCCTGAATTCTGGTTCCCAAGCAGAAATCAACACTCTCCAAAGAATCTTCTCAAGCAAGTCAATATTCCTTACCGAAGTTTCTTCTCAACAAGGCAGGAATCCCCAGTGGAAGCGTTGTTAACAAAAGTCTAAAGATACACATACTCTTGATCCCCAACAACAGTCCGAGATTTAACTTCTCAAAGCTCCCCAATATCTGTTAAGGATACACTTCGATAACATGTTACATTCATACAACATACATAACATATACATACAACGTAATCTCATTTATTTTGAGAACATCGTTACACCATGTATACATTCACATACAGCTAACCCCTTTTTGTTCCTTGCAAAAAAAAATCATTAATCCAAAGATCTCTTCGGAATCAGAATTAATTCTTCCAGTTATGGACAGACAAGACACCTAGTTTTCAGCACGAATAGACCAAAGATTTATGCTAATG